ATTGTGAAGATTTAAATTCGAAGGTTATTCGTCTATTTGGAATATCTATAGATCCTACGGATGGGGAATTTTACATGGTTTTAGAATATTGTGAGTATGGAAACATGCGACGGTATTTAAAATTAAATTCCAATAGTCAAAGTTTAGAGTGGAGGTGGATACTTTTACATATTATGCGTATTTTTTACAGTTTAAGTTATATACACAAGGAAGGGTTCACTCATAAGGACTTGCATAGTGGCAATTTGTTATTTTCTGATTTTGGGGACGGAGTTGATGGATTAATAATGAAAATCGCGGATCTTGGGCTAAGTGGACCAGCAAATGAAACAAGTAAGGAGGATATATACGGAGTAATACCTTATGTTGCGCCAGAAGTCTTAAAGGGGCAGGCATATACTCAAGCAGCTGATATCTACAGTATGGGAATTATTATGTGGGAATTCACATCTGGATATCCACCTTATCACGACACATCTCATGATTTGGAACTTATTCTTAAAATTGTTAACGGACATCGACCAGAAATTGTTAATAGAACACCAAAATTGTGGGTAAAATTAATTGAGCTTTGTTGGAACACGGAAGTTTTCAAAAGGCCTACTGCTGAACAAATGCATGGGACTTTAGATAAAGTAAATAAGATTGTTGATAATTCAGTAATTAAAACAAGAGAGGATATATTAAAAGAAAACTTAAAGTTAGAAGACCTTTGTGGATACTCATCTCTTGATGAATTCGCAGACGATGCATGGGAATTTAAACTCAAACAGTTTGATATAAGCTGTCGAGATGCAAATCATCAAATGGAAATGCACCCAAAGGCAATCTATACAAGTCAGCTAATATCTGATCTTACAAAAAATGTTCAATGGGTGCCAAATGAATTAGATCGAGGTATTGTATTGTAATCATATAATTAACATTATATTTTTTTATTATATTAATTTTATAAATATCGAATTTTTTTTATAGATAATCAATACGACTCCATTCAAGACAGGTTAAAAATCGATTTCTAGATTTTTTTTCTTGAAAAAAAAACCTGTATATTTTAATATGGAATCTCGGATTTGTGTTTTATAAACAGAATTTATCATGTCTAACATTAAGATATTTGTAAAGTTAGTTATTTTTAAAAATTAACATTTTATTATATTAACTATTTTATTCTATCAATAGCGTTTACTTGATATGTGACTTTATATTATGATGCATATGGAATACTGTATTGTAAAGCTAGTGTAAATTTTTTAAATAAAGAAAACGGATTTTTCTATTATTAACACTTTACTGTATGTGAAAATTACAATCGACACGTTTTTTTATAAGTATCCCTTTCAAGAAAATATGTTTGAAAATTTTTTTTAATACGAACGCTTTGTTCATTATAATTTGAAAGAAAGGCAAAGTTGAAGCGATTTATAATACAGTATGTGTATACTGTATATTATTTAAAATATGTTTTTATGACATTAAAACTGGCATTGAATAATAATAAATGAATGAATGCATGAGGAAAAAACAATTTTTTACAAGTCTAAAACATGCGTAAAATAATAAATTTCTATCATAATATAAAAATATTTGATTTATAAATTAAAAAACAACACATTTAATTAATAATAATAATTAAAAAAATCATTAAAAAAATTAAATTCAATAATTGATTGATTTGATAATACACTGTATGATTATTTAAAAATTGAAATTTTTTTATTTATTAAAAAAGGACATAATTTCCAAATTTTATTTTTAAAAAACAAAATTTTAAAATCCAGTATTATTCTTTAAATATTTGTAAAAATTTTGGAGACGTATTTTATTATTATAAATTAAAAAAAAAGCTATTCTATTTTAATCTTAAAAATAATTGCAAAAAATAAAAAAATTTCTATAAAGTCTTTTTAATACATTACAAATGATCGATTTAAAATACCATTTTTAAACTAAAATTTTTTTTTTTTAGATAAATTTTTATGGATTTTTATATATACATTGTTATGGGAGCAATAGGGATGAGAGCTCGATATTGTGGCGCGTCGCGTAATAATAGTGTCGATGATTGTGGAATGATGTAATAATTGATAATAGCATGTACTGGGTAAACACGCGTCAGGAAGGCATATAAATAGGATAGTTTATTTAGCCTGAGAAGTAAGTCAGTTAAAGAGAAGGTCTCGATCGGAGGTTTAGAGTTTCGCTTTAGAACACTTGTCTTGTTTTGCACACTCGCGCTTTATTAAATAAATGCTATATCGCTTCGCACAATACACAAGATACATTCTTTAAAGTGCACTAAGTTCACGCCACTACATTAAAGTAAACGTCTTTAAGGAGAAAAGAAGCTGAGTTACCTTTTGGTACCGTAAAGAGAGACACCTGTAGTCTTGAGACGCGCTTAAAGAGAGAGTGACGGTCAAGAAGAGATTAGCAAGTGCGAAAGTCGGTCAAATCGTAATCCGCCTCGGAGTTAAAGCCTTACCTTATT